AATTAATGAGATAGATCACATTAACAAAATGAAGAACAAAAATCATAAGGTGATGTCAATAGATGCAGAAAAAAGTCTGATAAAATACAACATCGTTTCATGATGAAACCTTAAGCAAATTGGGTATAGAAGGAACCTTCCTAAACACAGTCAAGGCAATTTATGACAAACCCATGGCCAGTATCCTCTTGAATGGAGAAAAGCTGTAAGGATTCCTCCTAAGATCAAGAACTACAAAAAGATGCCCATTATCACCATTGCTATTTAATGTAGACCTGGAAGTTTTAGCCGGAGCAATAAGACAAGAAAACACGATCAAAGGGATACAAATTGGAAAAGAGGAACTGAAACTATCCCCATTTGCAGATGACATGATTCTATATAAAAGGGATCATAAAGACTCCCTTGAGAGGCTATTGGAACTCATAAAAGAGTTTAATAAATTGGCAGGATATAAAATCAACACACAATAATCAATAGATTTTGTATACACAGACAATGTCATAGCTGAGAAAGAACTTTTTTGATCAATACTATAGCTACAAAAAATTAAGTAGTGTGGAATAAATTTAATCAAGGATGTCAAATATATCTACAATGAAAATTACAGAACAGTAAAGAAGTAAAAGAAGACATAAAAAATAGAAAAATCTTCCATATTCATGGTTGGAAGAATCAATATCATCAAAATGTCCTTAATACCATATGCAATCTACAGATTGAATGTGATCCCAATAAAAATACCAAGGATATTCTTCTCAAATATAGAAAAAATGATGCTGAAATTTATATGGAAACACAAGAGACCTTGAATAGCTAAAGCTATCTTATACAACAAAAACAAAACCAGAGGCATCACAATACCAGATTTCAATGGTAGTTGGAATCAAAACAGCCTAGTACTGTAAAATACAGATGTGTAGATCAATGGAACAGACTAGAAACTCCAGAAACCAATCTACACATCTACAACCAACATATTTTTGATAAAAGAGCTAAAATCAATCCCTGGAGAAAGGACCATCTCTTCAACAAATAATGCTGGGGAACTGGATCGCCACATGCAGAAGTATGACACCAGACCACCACCTTACATCTTATACAAAAAACCCACTCAAAATGGATCAAAGACCTACATCTACAACCCTATACCATCAAATTACTGGAGAACACTGGAGAACTCTGCAAGACATTGGCATAGGCAAGTAATTCTTGGAAAAGACCCCAGCGGCACAGGCAATCAAAACCAAAGTTGACAAATGTGATTACACCAAACTGAGAGGCTTCTGCACTGCAAAAGAATCACTCAGGAAAGTGAAGAGGCAACTGACAGAATAGGAGAAAATATTTGCAAACTATGCAACTGATGAAGGGTTAATATCCAGAATCTATAAATAGCTTAAGAAACTCAACAACAATATAACAAACAATCCAGTTAAGAAATTAGCAAAGGACTTGAACAAGTATTTTTCAAAAGAGTAAATTCAAATGGCCAATAGACACTACCATCAGGGAAATGCAAATGAAAACTACAATGAGGTTTCACCTCACTCCAGTTAGAATGGCTCTCATACAGAAATCAACAAACAACAAACGCTGGTGAGGATGTTGGGAAAAAGGTACCCTAATCCACTGTTGGTAGGAATGTAAACTAGTGCATCCTTCATGGAAGACAGTATGTACATACCTCAGAAATCTTAATATAGACCTACCATATGACCCAGCTATCCCACTGCTGGAAATGTACTCAAACCAAAAGAAATCAGCATCTTAAAGAGTTATCTCTACCTCCATGTTCATTGCAGCTTAATTCACAATATCTAAGATATGGAATTAACCCAGATGCCCATCAACTATTGACTGGATAAATATTATGGTATATATATACAACTGAATATTACTCAGCTGTTAAAAAAATAAATCCTGTCGTTTGCAGCAAAATGGATGCAATTGGAAATCATTATATTTAGTGAACTAAGCCAATCACAAAAAAAGCATATATCATATGTTTTCCCTGACACGAGATAACCAACAGTGTACCTAAAATGTAATATACTGGAGTGAAATGGACATTTTGAGAGTCAATGATTATTTAAAGGCCTTGTCTCTTCTGTTGAGGAACCATGTTTTATTTTCTTCATACCACTTGTTGAACTCTTTTACTTAGTGTAGGGTTAATTTTATGATCCATAAGTAAACTGAAAGTAGATCTTTGTAAATATTAAGAGTGGATATGGGATAGGGAAGAAGAAGGATTGGATTGTGGGCAGGAGGGAGGGTACCATGGGAAGTATCACTATGTTCCTAAATCTGTGTATATGAAATATATGAAAATTGTAAAACTTAAATCAAATTTTATGTCGGCGCCACGGCTTGCTTGGCTAATTCTCTGCTTGCGGCGCCAGCACCACAGGTTCTAGTCCCGGTTGGGGTGCCGGATTCTGTAGTGGTTGCTCCTCTTCCTGTCCAGCTCTCTGCTGTGGCCCAGGAAGGCAGTGGAGGATTGCTCAAGTGCTTGGGCATTGCACCATTAAGGGAGACCAGGAGGAAGCACCTGGCTCCTGGCTTCAGATCGACACAGTGTGCCAGCTGTAGCGGCCATTTTGGGGGTGAACCAATGGAAGGAAGACCTTTCTCTCTGTCTCTCTCTCACACTGTCTAACTCTACCTGTCAAAAAATTTAAATTAAAAAAACTTATAAAAAAGAAACAGGTACTATATTACTCCACTCATATGAAGTGCCCATAAGCAGTCAAAATCATAGTAACAAAATGCAGGCAGGTGCTTACCAATGGATGGGGGAAAGGTGACAAGAATTCATGTTTAATGAATGTGAGTTTCCATTTTTTAAGATGAAAGAGAACTTGAGATCTCTTGAGCAACTGTGTGAATATACTGAACACTATTTGTGAACTTAAAAATGGTTATGACAATTAAAATAATATTCTGTGTTTTCTTACCACAATTAAAATAAATATATAAATAAACTATCTTTTAAAATACTAAAATATTGGGATAAGACTATAGCTCTCATTGCCCTAAGCCCATAGCCATGGCCCCACTCTATTTCACCAGGAATATCATCATCTGTAATTTGTGCATTCTCCAAAATCTTTTCATAAACATATATGCACAAAAACTCATATAACTGTAGGATGAAGTATAACTATTTGGTAAATGTGTTTGACTCAATTTATGTCTTCAATGTACTTTTTTAAAAAAATTCAACAGCACAGTGCAAAAATGTTGAATTAATGTTAATTAAATATTTATCACTAATATTCCATTATGTAATTATAGATTTGACAGTTTATTTAGACTTTCTCTGTTGATAGACACCACTACTCTTTCTCACAGAAAATATTTTAATCTGATGAGTCATATCTTTCATTTCTAGAAAATTCTCAGTAATTATATTTAATGTTTTTCCCTATCATCTCTCTGGAAATCTTTTAGATAAAAAGTTGAAATTTCTAGTTTTAGTTTCCTTAATTTAACAGAAATGTTTGTACTTTCCAAAAGTATTCAAATAACCTCTACCTTTTTGGTCTGAATACTCACCCATGTTTTCAAAAATCTTCTATTGGTTTTTGCCAGCACCAATTTTAGTATTTGTATAAATTTCTGAAAATCTTCTTTGAAAATTTTGATTCCTGTGATCACCTTCAACACTTATGAGTCAGTAGGTCTAAGATGTGCCTCAGACGTGTTCGCTTTAACAGGTACTAATGTAATTCTGACATTATTTTAAGAAATACTGGATTTCAGTTTTAAGAAATACTATTGTGGCACTAGCAAATGGTATTCTAGGTTAACTGTCTTTTTTTCAATTTATTTCCATCTTAACTATTTGAAAAGCAAATTGAGATATATGTATATTCTGAGAAAATTAAGAGTCCTTATAGAAAATGTTTATTACATGCTGTAAGCCCAGTTGGACACACAAAGCAACATGCCTAGCTATTCTTGGAAAGAGAAAGCACAGGCATGACCTATTGTTTTGGAGACCTCATTTAAACTTCCATGTAGATGTGAACTTTTTTCCATTTAAAATTAAATTAAATCTGTGCTTTCCAGTATGGGAAACATGAACCAAATAGGTTACTGAACACTTGAAATGTGGCTAGTACAACTGAAGAAATGAATTCTCAATTTTATTTAAATTCAATTAAAGTTGTCACATATGGCTAGTGGTGATCACATTAAACAGCATAGATCTATACCAAAATTTTCTATTGTAATCCTCAAACATGATTTATTTCCCATGCACATGATGTTAATTTGTTGCAAATATTCACACAACCTTCAATTGCTATTGCCACATGGCAACAATTATTTTTGAAATTAACAGCCACTGTCCATTTAATTAGGTACCTATGTTATTCATCTGTACTTGTTTTCTCTGCAGTCATTTGGCTTTGAGACCCTTGGTTAAGACTGTAGTGGATCATATGCGTGAACTTCATTGCTTCACTAGCTGTAAATGTAAAAGTATTCTTTGGAATAAGAGCTGGTTTGGGCAAATCTCCTGGGAAATCAGAATCCATGCTGTTTAGAGCCTGCTTCCTATATAATACATTTCTCTGGAAGCATCTGAGAGTCCCTAAAAGATCATCATTTACATGGGTGTCCCTTAGAAGCTGCAGCTGTAAAATGACACCCTGTACATTTTCCTGTGGTTTACACCGAAGAAAATTCTTGAAAGTATAGGTGGATAGAGACGGGGAGCAAGCACTGATTGCGCTGCCCCTGGTTGATTCCAATCTGGATTAAAGCAGGTTTCACGTGACCATGTAGACAGAAGTGTTGACCTTTAAGAGGACACAATTACAGCAATGGTAGAAAGTGATTGCTTTGCTGTCACTCTGGCAGACATAGATACAGACTATAAGACTGGAATTCTTGCCAGGCTCCTTCTCGCATCAACAAGAGTGGGCCTATGTATCAAAACATTTTAGAACCTGAGTAGAAACTCTGGATGAAGAAAACACTGGACTTACATTTAGGATAGGAAGAGGCTCATATGTAACATCCTGTACAGGTGCGTATTTTTTAGTGAATGATAATGGACACCGAAGATACTTAAAATTATACTCGATCTGTAGAAAACAAATTTTTTTAAATTTACAGTTAGTCTAGTATAAGATGCAGGCAGTTTGTGGCAAATAAATTATGCAAACCTACAACAGAAAATAAATATCCTGGATGGTGTTATTTGATTACTTCATAACTCATAGTCCTGGAAAAAGAGGCATTCCAAAAAGATTATTGAGACCTTTTAGACTTCCATTCTTCATGCTTAACTACCCACGAAAACATAAAAACTGGCCGGCACCGTGGCTCACTTGGCTAATCCTCTGCCTGCGGCGCAAGCACCCCAGGTTTTAGTCCCAGTTGGGGCTCTAGGTACTAGTCCTGGTTGCTTCTCTTCCAGTCCAGCTCTCTGCTGTGTCCTGGGAGGGCAGTTGAGGATGGCCCAAGTGCTTGGATCCCTGCATCCGCATGGGAGACCGGGAAGAAGTACCCGGATCCTGGCTTCGGATCGGAGCAGTGCCAGCCATAGCAGCCATTAGGGGAGTGAACCAACGGAAGGGAGACCTTTCTCTCTGTCTCTCTCTCACTGTCTAACTCTGCCTGGCAAAAAAAAAAAAAAAAAGAAAGAAAAAGAAAAAAAGAAAAAGAAAAGAAAACATAAAAACTAGGACAACACTAAACAAAATTTCAGAGCAAAACTCAGGAAGTAAGGGGATAATCTCACAGGTATATAATACAATATGACAAATGAAAGCTATATCTTCTACAATAGACTGTAAAATTATAGTGACACAATTTTAATATTCTTCAAAAAATTATAATAAAATACACTTCAAACTTTCATGATAAAATAAACTTACATGGTAATCTCGGCAGGATTTGTCTCCTGTGGAAGGCACTATGCAGAAATCTAACAGTACCTTCAAGAGAGAAAAAAACAGCTGTTATTAAGTCAGCAAACCACATATGAGAAAGGATTGTCATATTTCTAAAATAATACACAAAATAATTCCTGTTTTGTTTTGTACCTCAAGGATAAATTATAATCCATGTCTTTCAGTAACAAAGGCTAAAATATAATTGTATTACAAATACATCTGTATGCATCAGAAATACCAGGTGAGAGTCCAGCGCCTTGGCACAGTAGGTTAATCCTCTGCCTGCAGTGGAACCAGGACTTTGAACCAGATGGCACCATCAGTACAGGCCTAAGTTCCTGGGGCATCTGGTCAACCCTGCCAAGAGGACTTGAGAATAGAGGATTGGACTATGCCTTGAAAGGGAGAAATGGGGATCTGGCTGGTCTCAGGAACAGAAGGACTTAGAAAATCTCAAGGAGGACTTCTGGTGCCCAGATGGCAGTGCTGGGTTCTTTACAGAGGGTCTTAATAGATATCATGGTAAATGAAGACAAGTAGCAGTCAGCAGTGCTGTGCAAGGCAAAAACAAAGAGGTAGGTCTGGATGCTACATTTTGAAATTTTTGTACTTATTGGCAAAGGCAAAATTAAGGATGAGTTGTCTTAGGAAATAGGATGGGAGTTAAAAAAAAGCAACTTTTCAGCAATGCATGTAAGAAATTCAAATGTGAGCCGGTGCCGTGGCTCAACAGGCTAATCCTCCGCCTTGCGGCGCTGGCACACCGTGTTCTAGTCCCGGTCTGGGCACTGGATTCTGTCCCGGTTGCCCCTCTTCCAGGCCAGCTCTCTGCTGTGGCCAGGGAGTGCAGTGGAGGATGGCCCAAGTGCTTGGGCCCTGCACCCCATGGGAGACCAGGAGAAGTACCTGGCTCCTGCCATTGGATCAGCATGGTGCGCCAGCTGCAGCGCGCCGGCCACGGCGGCCATTGGAAGGTGAACCAACTGCAAAAGGAAGACCTTTCTCTCTGTCTCTCTCTCTCACTGTCCACTCTGCCTGTCAAAAAAAAAAATAGAAAAAAAAAGAAATTCAAATGTGTTTTTGTGAGACTAAATGTAAATATCCTAGCTTATTTAAAAAATTCACAATACAAAAATAAGTCATTATAGAAAACATAGTGGTATAAAGGAAAACCAATCATCATCCCCCAACAGATAATTCTTAAGATTTTGATGTAGTATCTTCAGCTGTTTACTGTTTAATATGTGAATATTTCTAATATTTCTTGCCATTAAAATAATGCTGAATGAAATGTTCTATATAAATATCTGTATCTGATTATCTATTAGGATATATTCTAACTACTGCAATTGCTGAGTAGGAGTCTATTGTTTTTCAATTCTGAAAATTGATGTGCTCTTTGATATGATGCATGCATCTAAAAAGTTAATTTACATGCCATTTATACAATGAACTGACTTTAATTTCCATTTGATGTTATAAAGAAAAAATGTACATGTAGCATTTAGCACAGATTAAGTGGTTTTTTAATAAATAAAAACAATACATTAATAATACTAATATCTACATGAGCAATATAAAATTTTGAGGTATATTATCTGCCAACTGTTATCCTTCACATTTTATGTATTTAATCTGATTTAATGCCTTGCAAGATACATGTCAACATCACTGTTTCAGAGATAAAGAGTACAGAAAATGACGCTGAGAGAGATAAAATAACTTAGCTAAGATAGCATAGCAAGAGGCAAATCTAGAATTAAATCCCAGGGCCTCTAGGCTCCAGATCTTGTCTTCTAGCCTCTCTGTCACTATGTCTTACTGCCTCCCCGCACATTTGAACATATTTTTCCCTTTGAATGACATTTGAAATAATTCTGCTTTTCTTGATTATTCTGTCTGTCATAGTCCTTAAATCTCAACCTTTCCAAGGAGATATTTGATTTACAACATTTAACATTCATGTTTTCAACAATGTACACATATTTTTCTTGTAACAGGCATCAAGTCATGTATGTGCATTTAACCTAGCATAGAAAGTCATACGTTCAAAAACCCACAGAGGAAGGGCATGTACAATCATGAGCCATATAATGATTTTTTGTTCAATGATGGATATACAATTGTGGTCCCATAAGATTATATCACCTGGTTATGTTGTAGCAATCTTAGTTTGCATAAATACGGTCTATCATGTGTATACAATGAAATCATTACGTTAATGATGTATTTATCAGAACTGATTCTGTCACTGACACATGACTGTAATATAAATAAATGAACCATGTCAGGTATAATATGGACTGCTTGCCATTGTTCTTGAAGCATTAGCTATTGCCCCTGCTTTTATCTTCAGTTTGGATAGAAGCACAAATGAAGAAATCTGTCTCTACCAAAAAGAAAGCAATTACACACGTTTGTCAATGCAGGATGGCTAACATTAGTCATTGGAGCTGAGTATACAAAAGGGAGGGTTGGGACATGTAAAATGGGAGAGCGCATGTCCCATTCAAAGGAAGCAGCTGCTGCTTGTCCAGCAATTTCCCACCTTACAAGAAGGCAGGCCTACATCATCACGTTTTTGTAGAAAGACAGATATCTAGATCCTTAAGGAAACCATCCTGGTTTTAAATGATAGCAATGGATGAAATAATAACATGTGTGTAGAATAAAACACCTCTAAGAGGCTTTATTCAGCTAGCAATTACCATTCTATAGTGTCTGCTCTAAACTTGGACTGTTTGAATAAGAAATGTTTACCATATTTTCCTATGTTACACAATAAGTAACTTGATACTTGGTCTAAGTAGAAACTCATTACATACTTCTGGGTTAGCATCTCTTGTAGCCTATGGAAACTAGAAAATTTATTTACAAATGGAAATCAATATTATTAGATTATAATTATAATGACACATCCTCACATCATAATAAATGCCAAGCATATAGCCATGAGTAGTTCTGTCTTGGAGAGCTTACTTTCATGCATTCAGGAAGATATTCTACCATTTCCATGATTGGACATTTATTGCTTGGAGAATGATGACTAAAAACCTTTAAACATTCATCCCATCTGTAAAATAAAAATAAGTAAGATAAACACAAATCTTAATGCTTCTGGTCTGCAACATTTGAAACTCAGCAAGATTTTATCTTTAGGAAAAACTGAAATTTGAGTTTACTCATGAAATGTAAAGCTCCCATATTGGTTCTAATGGAAGAAATAGGTGAATCAAGATGAATACATTGGTGCCAGTGGGTAAAGCCACCACCTACAGTGCCGACATCCCATATGGGCGCCAGTTTGAGTCCCGGCTGCTACTCTTCCAATCCAGCTCTCTGCTATGGCCTGGGAAAGCAGTGGAGGATGGTCCAAGTCCTTGGGTTCCTGCGCCTGTGTGGGAGACCTGGAGGAGGCTCCTGGCTCCTGGTTTCAGATAGGCACAGCTCCAGCCATTGCATACAATTGGGAAGTGAACCAGTGGATGGAAGACCTCTCTCTCTCTCTCTCTCTCTCTGCCTCTCCTTCTCTCTCTTTGTAACTCTGACTTTCAAAATAAATAAATAAATGTTCAAAAAAAAGATGAGCTGGCACCGCAGCTCAATAGGCTAATCCTCCACCTGCAGCACCGGCACACTGGGTTCTAGTCCCAGTCGGGGCGCCGGATTCTGTCCCGGTTGCCCATCTTCCAATCCAGCTCTCTGCTATGGCCCAGGAGTGCAGGAGGATGGCCCAAGTACTTGGACCCTGCACCCACATGGGAGACCAGGAGAAGCACCTGGCTCCTGGCTTTGGATCAGAGCGGTGTGCTGGCCGCAGCGTGCTGGCCATGGCGGCCAATGGAGGGTGAACCAATGGCAAAAGGAAGACCTTTCTCTCTGTCTCTCTCTCTCTCACTGTCCACTCTGCCTGTCAAAAAAAAAACAAAAACAAAAACAAAACAAAAAACCACATTAACAGGTTCTATGTCCATCAGTGAAAATTAGGAATGTAGGCAAAATCCATGCTGGCTGTTATAATTACTGTTCCATCTCTTTCTATGAATGCCTTCCGAAGAAGTTAGACCTTTATTATCTCTTTCTCCTGCAATCATGAAATTTTGAGTGCTTTCAAAACTGATCATGTTAAGTAGAGATACCCACATATTCTCTCTCTCTCTCTCTCTCTCTCTCTCTCTCTCTCACACACACACACACACACACACACACACCATTGGGCCCATATTTAATAGTTATTTCATGAATACAGTATGATTGAATTAAACTACAAAATGAATAACTTTAATAAGCATAGATCCTGCCAAAATATTACAGAGTTTATCCCAGTTGGATTAGATAAGAAGATGATTACAATACAAGGAAGAACTAAATGTATAACAGAAAGCAAAGAAGAATTCCTTTTATCCAAGATCTTATCTAATGATTGCACTGGTTCTAATCACAAGCCAGACAAATTCTCTCTTAACATTATCAGTAAAATCCATCTAGAATATCTACATTGTCATAAGAAAACTTCTGGTTACACACTTTCAACAAGTCATTTTTCAAAGTAATGAGTTTCTTGATACTGCCCATGGTCAGAAACTCAGTCTTGATCTGCCTGGAGTATGAGATTGTTCACCTCTGTATCCACTACTGGGTGGCCCTGGGACCTTGTGTATTTGTCTGTAATTGTATAAAAAAGTTTACTTGTATTAAATTGGAAAAACAACCCTCTGTCTCCATCATTAAAGCCTTTGGAGTATAGTTGAAATACCTACCCTGCAAAAACATCATGTGCTAAGGGAAATTGCATTATGTGGCCCAGCTAACAACATGGATTTGCCTCACAGAATATTCTCAGCATCATCTGGTTGTGAGCCTTCTGTTGGCAAGGGTGTGTAGGGCGAGTTCAGGAAAGGAGGGAAGAGTTTGCTCGACAGTCATCACAGTGCCAGATACTACTGAGGGTACTTCAAAATATTCATGGAAAAATAGAACCAAAAGAGAAGTTCATTTTGGTGCAAAAATTTTGAAATACATGCAGTGTTCTCATAATGCTCATTTCCTTGAGCTTTTTCAAGACCTCTTGTATACATGAACTTCAATAAGTTTTTGAAACCAAATAAACTTATCTTTGAATTCAATTTACCACTTTCTGAAAACTGAAGGTGGCAGAGGTGAAGTAACATACCTGTTGTCACTGAAAAAGTCCATTAAAATTTTTTGTAACCAACTGACATTTAAACACATTGAATTAAGGCTACTTGTTCTTCTCTTTCTTGTTCCTCTCAGGCTGTGAATCACTGCTGACATCAGAGGATAACTAAATGACCAAATGGGAAGGCAGTGTACCTTTTGTTCCTGATGGCTGTGAGAACCACCTCCTTCCTCTTATTGTGAAGTGCCACGTGCAGAAAGGAGGCCTGCTGCTTGTTCAGGACGATGTCGGCATCGTAGCTCAGAAGAAGCGCCACAGCTTTGGCGTGGCCCTCCCTCGCAGCAAAGTGAAGCGCAGTATTCTTTTATAGGGAGCAAAGCACAGAAGATGTAGGGGCAATGGTTAATAGGCCTTTGGTCATTTGCCTGCCTTGTTTCATGGATGAACTGCTTAAAAGACATTATAACATAGCTAGCTATTAAGTCCAAAAATATATAAAATTTAAAACTGGTGTTCAGAAGCAAGTTCCAAAATAATGAGCTTAAAGTTCAAAAATGGTGGGGGTAGCAAGTCTCTGTGTGTAGGTGTAAATTTTGCAGGAAGTTGATTCCACAAGGACAAAGTTCCAGATAAGGGTGTTGTAATAAACAGAAGAAAACACTCCTGGGAGCAGTGGTTCCCACCTTTGAGATTTTTCACGAGCTCGTAGTTTTTTTAAAGGAGAGAAACTGTTCTAAAGTTGCCAATTTTTCATTTTGCCATAAAAAGACTTTTTTTTTTAACAAAAAGCAACAGCAAGCTTCTCTCTATCATTTTATGGACAAATGTACATCCCTTCTTCAAACAAGGAGGAAGGGCATAATAGCATAAAAAAGGACAGCCCCTCAGACCAACACACTTCAAAATAATGTGCTGAGGGCTGTGATCGCTCATCCCTGTCCTCTTCCTTTTCCGCGCTCACCAGGGAGAGGTGAAAACTTTCTCTTGGAACCACAGTGCCCGTAGACAGGCCCCTGTGAGACTGGACTGGTATCCTCAACAGTTCTTCCTGTTTCATTCTTCCTCCCTCCTAGAGGCTGCATGATTAAAAACCTCAAAAAAGTCTGGGCGTAGGGCAAGGAAATGAGGAGCATGGCTAAGAATAAGGCACTCCTGCAATTTTGGAAATTTTTGCCTCGCAGAGATTTTTAGGGGGCGTCTGAAACACACAGTACATACCCCTTCTTCATCTAGCCGATCTGTGCACTTCAAATTAGTATCAAGAATGACCTTCATGGTCTGAGTGTATCCACCCAAGGAAGCATGATGTAAGGCAGTCCAGCCATTGTGGTCACTGTTAAAGAGTTAAGAAAAGATAGATGCTTTACAGAAGAAATGTGGGAAGGAACACCCCCCACTGGCTCATTGCAAGTGGGTCTGATGACTGAAGAAAGAAAAACCTGTAACTGTGATATGGCAACTAAAGATTTCTTCTATATTTATAATAAATGAGCTAACTTCAAGCTCAATCATCTTAAATTATTTAGCTGTAATATGATATACACATATATTTTATTAGTGAATTAAAATATACAATGATATAAACAACTTTCCAAACACTTCCAGGTGGAGGAAACTAGTTAGCAAATCTATGCAACACACATTTTTATCAAAACTATTATATATTTTAAAGCTTGTTTTACTATTTTATTGACAATTGTGCCAAAAAAATTATGATGATGATATTAGGCTTCACAATAAATATTGTTAATGCAAGTTGTGTATTCCTACCTAAAAATCTGACATCTGAAATTCTCTGAAATCCACAAGTTTTTGAGTAGTTAAATCTATGTGAATATTGAAAAATCCATAAAACTATGAAACATGAAACACTTTGGGAAAAGGTATATTCAACCTGTAGTGTTACTAATCACAATAGTATAGTGCATGGTTATTTTTGGATTAATGTAACTTACTCTTCAAAAAGGTCATGTCTGAAAAAGTTTTCTTTTTGTTCCCTCAAAGAAGCTAACTAGGCTTTCATTCTCTTTGAGCAATGTTTATGCTTTCTCACAGAAACTCAAAATGCTAACACAATGAGAGCTTGTCATAACAAAAATACTTTTCCAAGTAGACATAGAAAAAGAATTCTGACACAATGCAATTTCTTTGCCAGTGAGCATCTGTTTAGGTTGTTAAGTGAGCATCTGTTTTAGGTTGTTTTAGATTGCTAGATCAGTTGTGATGTGATTAAGCAACAACTGGCCTGGATCCACTGGGTCCCTCTCACAGTCCTACTGCATGGTGTTCCTATAGAAGCCTGAAGGAACTGGACAGATCATTAGTTCACAGTTACCTCACTAACTTGCTGCTATCAGTCTACTCTAATTGAAGAAAGGTCCTTTTCAATGTAGCTGTATCACCTCAGTGAAATTAAAAATAAACCTCAATATAACTTTATAAAATATTTCCAGATTTCTTTTGCTTTTCATAATGATGTGATTTAATTATGCCACATGTTTTATTATGCTTACATATTTTTGACGTGGTTCTGTTCCTGGAGTTAAATTTCCTCTAAATATGAGGAGAGTTCAAAAAGTTTGTGGAAAAATGAAATTAAAAGTAAGTTTATTGGCCGGCGCCGCAGCTCACTAGGCTAATCCTCCGCCTTGCAGCACCGGCACACTGGGTTCTAGTCCCAGTCGGGGCGCCGGATTCTGTCCCGGTTGCCCCTCTTCCAGGCCAGCTCTCTGCTGTGGCCAGGGAGTGCAGTGGAGGATGGCCCAAGTACTTGGGCCCTGTACCCCATGGGAGACCAGGAGAAGCACCTGGCTCTAGCCATCAGATCAGCGCGGTGCGCCGGCCATTGGAGGGTGAACCAACGGCAAAGGAAGACCTTTCTCTCTGTCTCTCTCCCTCACTGTCCACTCTGCCTGTCAAAAAAAAAAAAAAAAAAAAAAAAGTAAGTTTATTTTCGTGAAAAATTTTGGAAATCTATGCATTCTTTTCATAATATACATATTCCATGAACTTTCTGAGGACCCTCCAGATAATGAAGTTCAGGAATTTTTTTTTTTTTTTTTTGACAGGCAGAGTGGACAGTGAGAGAGAGACAGAGAGAAAGGTCTTCCTTTGCTGTTGGTTCACCCTCCAATGGCCGCCGTGGCCGGCGCGCTGCAGCCAGCGCACCGCGCTGATCCAAAGGCAGGAGCCAGGTACTTCTCCTGGTCTCCCATGTGGTGCAGGGCCCAAGCACTTGGGCCATCCTCCACTGCACTCCCTGGCCACAGCAGAGATCTGGCCTGCAAGAGGGGCAACCGGGACAGAATCCGGTGTGCTGGGGCCACAAGGCGGAGGATTAGCCTAGTGAGCCGTGGCGAATTCCCTTTCAATACGTGAGAAGTCATGTATGTTTTGAGGAGTAATCAAGATAGATAAAAGAAGTTAATTAAGAACATAAAATTACGTATCAAAATTTAATTTTAATAGAAGATGAAGCCTGAAAATTGTCAACAAAATGGTCAACAACACTCCAGTCATACATTCTCACCTGATAAACAGTGCACCCTTTTTCAGAAGAAGCTGCACTACTTTGTCATGTCCATTTTTTGCTGCCAGGTGTAGAGGAGTCATCCCATGAAGGTCACCTTCATTCAAAAGCCTCGTATCACTTATGTCTTGGAGGAGCCTCTGACAGGTGTTGATACGTCCATAACTTGAAAAATAATTAGATTTCTTATTTTCAAAGTAAATATTCAACAGAAAGAAGACATGCATTTATGTTGCAAAGACTAACTCTTACCTGGCTGCAAAGTGCAGGGGTGATTTCTTATCTTTGCTCTTGGAATGAATGGACACATTAAAGCCAAGTAGGTTATTTACAGAGACAGGGACTCCCTGTCTGCAAGCATAATGTAAAGGAGTACATCCATCATTGTCTTCATCCATTACCAGCTCTTTAATACATTGCATCTATGGGAAAAAATAATATCCTACATAAAACTTTGCTATTATGCTGCTACACTGTCTTTCAAACTGTTCAGCAAGACAGCTTTATTTTCCAGCAAGGATCAACATGTTTTCCTTGAAGGAAAAACTGTGAACAACCTAATGGGTAGTAGAATAAAACAAATATGAATGAAGTTCCATGCTCTAGCCCCCAATCTAGTGCCTATAATATTACCATATAAGAGGCTGCAAGGAGAAAAACGTACTTAATATTTTTAATCCAGCAATTACCAGACAAATTTGACCAAACATCCCCCTAAGCCCTTCTCCTCATTTTTCCCCTTTGAGAGCTAAGAACTTAATGCTAAGGTATTCCAATAGGTAAAAGGGTTAAGATAAATTAGGTTTATCTTTTATATATACAGTAAATAAAAAATGATAGTAAATGGGTAACTTCATCCAATTAATAAACATTAGTTATTTTAAAAATATTCAATAAGCGTATATTTTATTATTATTATATTTTTTATTAAAATATGTTTAATTTTTCTGAGTATTTATTTTTTCATGTTAATGTGATTTTAATACCAACAGAACAGATTCAATGTAGTTCATAGATACAATTCTAAGAATATAATGATATTCTCTTCCTCCCACTCACCCTCCCTTTTTCTGTTTCTCTGCTTCTTTCTTCTTTTTTAGTTTTTGAGATAACTTTTTATTATTATTATTATTATTATTATTTTGACAGGCAGAGTTAGACAGTGAGAGAGAGAGAAAGGTCTTCCTTTTCCGTTGGTTCACCCCCAAATGGCCGCTATGGCCAGCGCGCTGCGCAGATCTGAAGCCAGGAGCCGGGTGCCTCCTCCTGGTCTCACATGCGGGTGTAGGGCCCAAGGACTTGGGCCATCCTCCACTGCACTCCCGGGCCACAGCAGAGAGCTGGACTAGAAGAGGAGCAACCGGGACAGAATCCGGCGCCCCAACCGGGACTAGAACCCCGGGGTGCAGGCGCTGCAGGTGGAGGATTAGCCAAATGAGCCAAGGAGCTGGCTGAGATAACATATTTTTAATTAACATCACAGTCAAAGGCTTAATGCTCCACTAAACAAAGAAATTAACAAGTAAAATGTAAAAACTCTAGTTCAATGATAATACAGGCAAAGCCTGCAAACAATAATTAAATGGAAAGATGACCATTTCACTCACATACAACATATTTTAAAATAATCACAGATCATTAAAGCTATAGTAGTTTAGAGGCTGGCATTGTAGCTTAGCGGATTAAGCTGCCACTTGCTTTGCTGGCATTTCATATGGGAACCAGTTTGTGTCCTGGCTGCTCTACTTCTAATCCACCTCCCTGCTAATGTGCCTGGGAAGCAGCATATGTCCCAAGTGCGTGGGCCCCTGCCACCCATGTGGGAGACCTAGAAGAAGCTCCAGGTTCCTGGCTTCAGCCTGATGCAGCCCTGAGCATTGTGGCCATTTGGCAGGTCAACCTTGGATGGAAGATCTTTCTCATCCCTCTCTCTCTGTAACTTGGCCTTGCAAATAAATAAATCTCAAAAAACAAAACAAAACAAAACAAACAAACAAACAAACAAACAAAAACATAGTAGTTTAACATTCAGAACCATTGGTATATGTGTTTTTCTCTGGATTATTTCACTCAACATGATGTCTTCCAGTTGCATCTGTTTTGATGCAAATGGTAGAATTTCATTCTTTTTTAATAGCTGAATAATATTTTCTTTATCCATTTATTTGATGATGGACACCTTTTACTATTGTGAACAATCCAGCTATTAACATGGTGGTGCAGATATCTCTTATACAACATGTTCATGTCTTTTGGGTATAAACCCAGTAGTGGGATTGCTGGATCCTATTGTAAGTCTATTTCTAGTTTTTTGTTTTGTTTTGTTTTGTTTTGTTTTGTTTTGTTTTAAGAAATCTCCATACCATTTTCCACAGTGGCAGCACCAATCTACCATTCCTGTCAACAGTTTGTAAATGTTCCCCTTTCTCCACATCCTCACCAACATTTGTTAACTTTCTCTCTTTTGGATAATAGCCATTGTGATTGGGATGAAATGGTATCTCATTATGGTTTTACAAAAATATGGTACACTTCACATGCACCTAGAAGTCACTCAAAAAGTACTAGCTAGTGAAAATAATATGAAGATAATACTTTCAACATGCCATCAACAAGTCAAGTATATTGAGTTTTCTTTTTAAGTGATGGTGAAATATTGTTAATTGATTCAAGTACTTGGCTTTTCCACTGATACACAAACTGTAACAGTGAAAAAGTGAAGGAAATCAAATTGTTTAAGGATATATTCATATTACACATGAGGGCATATGAAAAATCCCTATAATTTAGAAACTCAAACCCAATGCAATTAATTATAATCACAATCAACACTATCAAGCTGTAATATTCAAATATGACAGCTTTATTTTAAAATATTTTAAAAATTCCAGAGTCAGCATTCACAATAATAACAATTTTGTTAAAAAAGCAGTTTACTCTATGTTAAGCACAATTTAGTTTATGGAATCCATGGACATAAATTACCTGCATAAATTCAGGATGCAAATTTTTTAACCCATAAGGTTGCTGCACAGTCAAATGTAAAAAATTACGTCCAAGATGATCTTTTATATCTACATGAGCACCTAAAAAATACAATACCAATATAAATTCTACTCATTTGTTTAATGCATGGCCAATAGTGGGTTTTCAACTTAATAAGAGATTTTGACTTAAAAACTTTGCCAAGCTTTAGTATACAGGAAAACTTATTTAGATGGGAAAACTAAACACATTTAAAAATGAGTTACCTTACTGTTTGTATGTAAGGGAGAGCGGAGAATATATGATGCATTATATAAAATATAAATATGGGGAGATTAGAGATCAATAAAAAAGAAGAGATCAATAAAAAAGAAGAGATCAATAAAAATGATTTGAGATCATTACTATACCTAAACCACATAGGACTAATTCTTTGAGAGAAAGTTGATAAAATGCTTGGCAATATGCAAATACCTTATAAATGTTATTAATTACCCTTCTAAAAGTATCTCTTTAAAGTATAGTTTCCATACTGGACTAAAAAGCTTCCAGACATGGAAAGTGTTCTGTTTATCTTGTATACATGGCACACGATAGATAGTTAATAAATATTTATCTAACCAAATTGAGTAGCAGTTCCAAGGGCTTGGCTTGGTCCCTCTTCGTACCTTTAGAAAGCAGTAAATTTACAGTGCTCCAAGATGCAGAAGCAGTTGCTAACATAAGTGGAGAGCGTCCTTCAGCATCGGTGATATTAATGTCAGCTCCCTAAAATAAAACGAGTCATTGAACAAAGAGTTTATGAACAGACAAACTGGTTTACATACATTGCCATCTCTAAATAATGTTAATTCACTGGGGTAGAGTATCTTTTATGGCTAGCACTAAAGCATATAACTGTCAAATTGCTTGAAATGCCCATATAATTCATATGCTGTAACATCAGAAATCAAGACATTCTTTCCTTATTTCAACAATGAAATTATTCTCACATGTTAGGTTTATGATTTACATAAGACAATAAGAGCTCTATTACTATCTAGCCCATAAAAATAAAATCCTTGGACTTATAGCAATAACTTAGTTCTCACTGTAAGAAATGATTTTTAAAGGTCTATCAAAGTATATTCCAAATGCATCACATAGGTGATTTTTAAAACAATTCCCAAGTAACTGTTCACTTTTTAAAAAATCTACTTCATCTGAAATAAGTGAACTGAAATAATTGAATTTAAATCACTCAAATCATAAAGTAAAATTGTATCCAAACATTTATTAGAGAAATTTTGAATTTGAAAATCACTATATATATGTATATACATATATACATATATAAGAACAGTCCTTTTTTTACATTTCTTTTTTGATTAACTTATTTGAGAGAAAAAGTGTGGACTTCCATGCTCCTGGTTCACTCTTCAAGCGTCTGCAACAGCCAAGGTTAGCCCAGGGCCCAGGAGTCAAGAACCCCATGTGGGTAGCAGGGATGCTTATACTTCAGCCATCATTGCTACCTCCTGGGGTACTAGTGAATTGAAAGCTTGAGTCAGGAACCAGAGCCAAATAACAAATCCAGGTATATAATGTCAGATGCAGGTGTCTTAGCCTAAGATGGCCTCTTAACCAGTAAGATATATATATATACACACACACACACACACACACATATATACACATTTTAAATAAATGCACCAATATTTCTTGCTAGAGTTATTTTTATATATTTGATTTGAGAAAAAGCAAAAGCCTTTTATAATTTCACAGAAAGGATTCTATACTTACACTAGGGTAATAAAAAGAGCTTAAAGTTTGATCACGACATTTCGCTTTTCTCTTGTGATCCTCTGAATACACTGACAGTGGAAGCAGCATCCCTTTGAATGCTGGAAAGTTCTGCTGCAGTTCTCTTGCTGGGTAAAGAGTGACTACATTTGTGGGAAACCATGCATGGCATGAAACCATGATATATAGAGTGTATTCCCAGGATGCTTTTATGTAAATACAAAATTTCAATAGTTCCTATTGACATCCCATACATCCTAAATACTAAAAAGGGGACTGTATTCACTGCTGATATAGTTGGGGTTGAAATAAATCCACCATACATTCATTCATGCAAACAACTCATTAAAACTTAACCCAAAATGTGCCTGATTCCAGTACTTAAGGGTAACAAAGATCACATGCTTTCAACTATAACAAATCTTTAACAATACTTTTCAATTTCTCTGTTCCAATGATGCCATTGAGGTAGCTTAAGATGGAAGGCAAAGGTTACATATGAATCCTGTTGTGCCTTCTGCCTCAAAGCCATCAGCACTGAAGAAGTGTCAGCAGAGTGGCTCAAGCCTAATCCGCCCTCATGACAAGCTTGCAGTCCATCATAAGGGCTTTCCTTGGTGCCTGCATTTGGCTTCACAGTGAAGTAGCTGCTCAGGAAGCCTGCACTCTACATTGGAGTGCCTGGTTTGAGGCCCAGTTCCTCTCTTCCGATCCAGCTTACTGCCAATGAGCACCCTGGGAGGCAGCAAATGATGGCTGTAGTTCTTGGGACCCAGTCCCCTATGTGGAGGACCCAGCTGGAGACCCAGGCTCTTGACTACAGCCTGGCCCAGACCTGGCTGTTACAGGCATTTGGGGAGTGAACCAGCAGATGTAAGATCTCTCTGTCTCTGCCTTTCAAATAAAATGAAAATAAATAAGTAAAAATATTTTGAGCAGTTTCCTTTGTGTTATACCCACAGACTCCTCACACGAAGAACACTGATACAGCAGAAACTACTGATTAATATTTCCAAAATCATGGTAATAATGTTTGGCCACTGTACAGTCATACACAATAAACTCTATTTGGCAATTGACAATAATCCATCAGTAAACTTTTTTTGTAAAGTAAGAAATTAAAATTTAGTTTATATTTGAAAAATCCATATTATGCAATTATATTATTTTTCAACTGTAAACAGTAGTAAAATACTGTGAGTTGAATACTTACCACTGATATTAAGTATTCAGCTAGTTCATGGTGATCAAATAATGAGGCTCTGCAAAAAGAAAAAAGATATAAAATAAGAATTAAATACAACTCTAGTCTTTATAAATCACTCATAAAAGTTACAGCAACAGAACAGAGAATTAGACACATGGGAAAGGTGAAACATTCACCCTTATCTTCTCCATTATCTTCATTAAAACTGGGATTAAGACAAGAAGAATTAGAACAAATTAGAAAGGTCTTGAGGATTAATCTTGAGTCTGTATCCACTGAGTTGAAGAACAATCCAGAATATGCCACTGGAGATTTTGTTCTGTGAAAAGCTATTTCACATTCTACTGTGATCCCCAAAGGGACACAGATTCCTGTTAACCCTGTTGGTTACCTTGCTAGCATGCCTGCTAAGTTTTTCCAGCAACATATAATTTAACAGGTGAGAACCAAAAACAATAGGCAGAAAGCTTGCCTGTGAAGTAGGGTCTCGTGATTTCCATCGACTGCATTAACGATATCACTACTACCAGAATAGGAAGATATCATCAGTTTAACAATCTCAGTGGCTCCCTGGGTGGCAGCAAAGTGAAGCGGCATGCACTTCCCATTCTGTAAAGAGTTTTGACATCAAATCAATGTTTACATCTCAATTGAAAAATACAACATATTCAGCTGTGAGTTTCTTCTTCCCAGGTCAATAAAATTTAAGATGATGAGTAGTGATTAGCTTCATCCATTAACAAGCACCCACATGAAAGTTACAACTAACAACTACACTTCTTCACAGTGTGGTAGCCTGCAGCATACAATTCTGCTGTCATTATAATTCTCATTATTAGTCCTCAAGGACCAACAGGACTATGTCCCATTCACTGTTGTAAGCACACGGTGTATGCAGTGATTCCCTATCAACAGTGGCTGCTCTTCACTTCTGTAGTGAAAGGATTTAGGGACAGTCTCTAGAAGCCACATGCGATTAAAATCCATTCTTGTCTTCCTCTAGAAAGAATAGGCCTCTGAGGTACCTGTCAAGGGAGAATGTTGTCACCCAAAATCCAAGACACTGAAAGGAAGAGGGCTTGACCCTGGTAGTTTTAGTCAGAGAAGCCTGGCATAAGTTCAGAATCCAGGCTCAGGGACATTCATATCCTTCGAAATTAATTAAGGGGTCCTTAGTTTAACAGAACCATAATCATAGAGGTGAATGATTAATCTTTAATGTTCCTGGCTAGCATTAATTTATATATTATTGTCTTCTGAGGTAGGCCTTAATTATTTAATGGCAATGCAACTAGACATAGGCTTTACTCTATCTGTGTCTATACCTGTTTGTGTAGCTCCCAGAAGTGTTTATAGAGATTGAAATTTGGGGTATTCTGCTTCTGTATAAACAGAAGGAAATATCTCTTCCACAGTATCTGTTCTCAACGTAAACAGGCTGTAGAAGAGCTACAAAACCTTTTGGAAAATATTTTATGACAATTCTAAAAGAAATATATCATGGAGAATTTAACAACCACCTCCTTCAGGTCTATGCGTGCACCATTGTCCAGGCACAATTTAATCATTTCCAAGTCACCACTCTGAACCGCGAAGTGCAGCGGGCTGGCTTTCCCAGTGTTCACAAAGTTTATCTGAGACTCTCTGCGGTACCCGCGTTTCTCACCTATAGAATAAAAAAATATTCAAGCCAAATATTTAGAATAAATAATATATATATATATTTTTTTTTATTTTTTGACAGGCAGAGTGGATAGTGAGAGAGAGAGAGACAGAGAGAAAGGTCTTCCTTTTGCCGTTGGTTCACCCTCCAATGGCCGCCGCGGCCGGTGCGCTGCGGCCGGCGCACCGCGCTGATCCGATGGCAGGAGCCAGGAGCCAGGTGCTTTTCCTGGTCTCCCCATGGGGTGCAGGGCCCAAGCACCTGGGCCATCCTCCACTGCACTCCCTGGCCACAGCAGAGGGCTGGCCTGGAAGAGGGGCAACCGGGACAGAATCCGGCGCCCCGACCGGGACTAGAACCCGGTGTGCCGGCGCCGCTAGGCGGAGGATTAGCCTAGTGAGCCACGGTGCCGGCCTAGAATAAATAATATATTTTTAAAGCAAAGATATTTAGACTTACACAAAAGCCTGGTGTAAATTCTGTTAAATACTTTTCAAAATAATAGCATCTGCCACAATAAACTTCTTTACCATGAAGAAAGTAGAAAAGCCTCTACTCAAGGCCAGTGTTGTGGCATAGTAAGTTAGGCAGCAGCCTGTGATGCAGCATCCCATATGAGTGTTGGTTCGAGTCCTGGTTGTTCCACTTTTGATGAAATTCCTTGCTAATGTTCCTGGGAAACCAGCAGAAGATGGCTCAAGTGCTTGGGCCCCTGTACCCACATGATGGACCCAGATGAATTTCCTGGCTCCTGGCTTCTGCCTGCCCCAGCTCCAGCCATTGGGGCCATTTGGGGAGTGAATCAGCAAATGGAGGATCTCTCTCTCTCTCTCTCTGTCTCTTCCTCATTCTCTGTACCTCTGTCTTTCAAATAACTAAATCTTTAAAAAAACAAAAAGAAAAGCCTCTAACTCACCAAACTCCAATATTAATTCCATGCATTTTTTAGCACCTGAAAAGGCAGCGAGGTGAACAGGAAAACATCTCCATTTATTTGATTTGCATAGCTTTGCACCCTTTTGTAACTGGAGGAAAAAGGAAAGAAAATAGCAAAAAAAAAAAAAAAAGTCAAATGATACAAATTTAAAGCACAAATCACAATGGCCATTTCACTAGTCTGTGCCTGTTTAAAAATACATAGAAAACTTAAAATGATATGAAATCCTTGCAAGAAGATAATTTTAGAACTTGGCTAAGATAGTGAAATGGAAATATATTACATCTTCCGAACAGGAAGTTACACCAGAGTCACAAAATACCAATCATTATATTCCAGTAATCTAAAATCAACACATTTTCAATGGGATTAATGAGATTTCTGAAAACATCATTATGGTTTCCACATTCCTTCTCAATTCCTTACAATAATAAAGTAATAATATTTTCCAGACTCCTTTCTCTTTGTTTATATAAAGCACATTAAAAATAAATTAAAAGACAAAATAAAACACCATCACTCTCATTAAACAATAAAAATCAGAACTTTCATTACTAAGAAAGATTCTTACTAAAAAGATGTTAGAAGAACTGTTCTTAACATTATTTATTTATTTATTTGGTCAGAGTGCACTATTTTCAACTACAATTTTCTATAAATGACTGGACTTCAGTTTTATTTTAAATATCTTTCATCATTAGAAAAGATTTTGGGGCTCCCTTTGACTCTTAGTCCTTTCATTATGATCAATTGCGAACAAACACAAAGCACCTCCTTCGAGCCGGAATCGAACCAGCGACCTAAGGATGCCTACAGATGCTCGTCCACTCTACAGTCCTCCGCTCTACCAACTGAGCTATCGAAACTGCCGCCTGTGACACCAGCATCCCATATGAGCACCAGTTCTAGTACTGTCTGCTCCACTTCTGACCTAACTCCCTGCTAATGCACCTGGGAAAACAGCAGAAGATGGCCCCAGCCACCCATATGGCAGAGCTGGATGGAATTCCAGCCTCCCAGCTTCAGGCTGACCCAGCCCCGGCCATTTGAGCAGTGAACTAATGAATGGAAGATCTCTTTATCTTTCCTTCTTTCTCTTTGTTACTTCTCACTCTCGTTCTGTCACTCTGCCTTGCAAATAAATCTTTTTAAAAACAGAAAAATTTTGAAAAAATAGAAAGGTATGACTATCACTACCTGTAATCTTGTCATCTACAGTCATCAGTTTACTTTAAATAATAAATATAGAGGGCATAGCTGGTAAAGCCACCCCCTGAAGTGTTGGCATCCCATATGGGCACCAGTTTGAGTCCTGGCTGCTCCACTTGCAATCCAGATCTCTGTGATGGCCTAGGAAAGCAGTAGAAGATGCTCCAAGTCCTTGGGCCCCTACACCCACGTGGGAGACTCAGAAGCTCCTGGCTCCTGGCTTCAGGTTGGTACAGCTCTGGCCATTGTGGTCATCTGGGGAGTGAACCAGTGGATGGAAGATACCCCCGCACCTCTGCCTCTCTGTAACTCTGCCTTTCAAATAAATAAACAAATCTAAAAAATAAATAAATATATGAATAGTTTTGTGTACCTGAAAACTTCGTATTTCACAAAATCCTATTGTTAAAGAATAGTGTTAAGTAAAAATTTTCTAATGAGACAATCATACAGTATATGCAAAAAAATTAAATCTCAAAGAAATAAGACTCAAAAGTCTCCAAAGTGTTTTAAACTTCATTATTTTTCATTCCAATTTTCTTTTGGTATATTTAAGCCACATTTTCTAAATTCTAAGTTGGAATGTTAATTTTTATTTTTTCTATTTTATCCTCTTTTTGGTCCAAACATGACAGCTATGGACCATAAATTTGCCTGTAAGTATAGCTAGCAAATATGTTTAAGCCTATTTTTAGGTTTTTTAAGTATCAGGCAAATATTTTTGGAATTTTTTTACTTAATTTTCCTACTCTCTGAGACAGTATAGAGGGAAAATCAGTAACAAAAATATATAATGTGGCCCAGAAAACTGTAAGTGGCTAAGCAACATGGAAAGAGAGCTGTTTACTGGAATTTCGGAAGCATATTCAGGAGGGGCACCACTGGAGCAGGATAAATCCCTGAGCCCGGAACCTCCAGTATTCACTCAGCCACCCCAGGAAAACGTCCCAGACAGAAGGTTGGCTCTCTGGTCTCAGGGATGTTTTTAAAGACCACTAGTCATTAAACCACGTGACTCAGTTTTGAGAATTCACTGCAAAAATTTCATTTCTTCTGATCTTGGGAATAGCAGTTTTGCTTTTGACTTTTATTTTACAGGCACAGTAAGTCTGCAATTGACTACATTCATCCTGTTTGTATTTGGAAGCTCAGAGTCAAATGTATGACCTGTCTTTATTAACATAGAATTTATTATACATTTGTATTCTTTATTTTGACCACAAGCTTCATCTTAAATTTTTCCTGTCTATACTTCAATTTTCTCACATTTTCCTTCACTCTGTAATGTTAGTCTTCTGTAAGCAATCTCAGCTCCATTTAGGATTTAAGGGATGTGTACACCTGCAAAACGTATAGAAACATTTTTTCTAACCTATTCTCTACATATTTTATTTTCCTAAGGAGAGAAACTGAAGAAATGTTATAAATAAGAATAATTCAGGTTGAATTCATAAGAAGACAAAGAAAAAGCGTGACGAGTAAACTAACCAACATTTGTAATGCTTCACTGTTATCTTTGGAACATGCAGTTATCAGAGCTGTGTTTCCATTTTCTCCTTCCAAATTAATATCCGTTCCATTGTGCTCAGTCAACACCTACAAAAAAGGTGAGGGAATAATTATCAAAAAGCCAATGTGCAGGGGTCCAGTGTTACAGCATAGCAGGTAAGCTACTGCCTATGATGTCAGGATCCCACATGAGCATGGGTTCGAGTCCCATCTGCTTTACTCTGCATCACTTCTAGTCCCAGCTGCTCTGCCTCCAATTCAGCTCCCTGTAAAGTGCCCGAGAAAGCAGCAAAAGATGGCATTCCAGGCTCCTGGCTTCAGCCTGGCCCGGCTGTGGGCAGGCCACTTGGGGAGTGAACCAGCAGATGGATAATCTTTTTCTCTATTACTCTGTCTTTCAAATAAATAAAAATTAATCTACAAAAAAACTAATATGCAGATTTTGAAATGAGTTCCTTGTCTTCTACTAGATTATAACCTATCAATTGCTAGGGACCATGTCTTCTTTGTCTTTTCTCAACCCTCTCCCACACAATTGGCACAAATCCTTGCACATAGTGGGTACAAAATATATTTATCAAGAGAAGGAATTAATGATTTTAATAACACATCAATTAAGGCAATATTGGCTTTTGAAATTGTAAATAAACCAGAAATACAGATAATTATTAACATTTAGTCTTTCTCACTTTTACTGAGTAAACTACCTCAACTAATATCTTCAAGAAAAATTTTGGAGCCATTTGGAATTTAGAGAAATGGAATGGAATGAAAGGAGAGAAGAAGGTGGAAAGAGGAGGAGATTATTGCCACAAGCCTTCCTAATGACCTCTTCAGAGACTTCCCTGAGGCTTCTTTGTTGATACTAATACCTCTGCTCTCCTCTTCTCCTTCAGCCCAAACATACACTTATTCATTCATTCAATAGCTAAAATTTACCAGCACTGTGCTAAAACTGGACATACTCAGATTAGGAAGACGAGGTCCTTCCCTCAAAGATAACCAGCCAGAGGGTAAAGAAAAGCACATGAACACTTGGTGACAAAATCACACACTCAGAATTATGACAGAGCTGTCAACAAGGCACGATGGATTCCCTCACTGCTTCTGTGCCAGATTTAAAGGAGCCAAGCTGTCAGAGGCCTGAAAGGGTTTCCAGCTAAGGAAAGCCTGGAGCCCATGGGTCTCTTTGATCACTTACAGATAATTAGATTTTGTTGTGGCTGAACCCAGTAGTCAAATCATCATCCTCAATAATCTTCCTGCAAGAAAATTTAAGTTCAAATAGTCTACCTGAGAAATGAACTTCTGGCACATGACCCATTTGTAAACTGCAATCCTGTGTAAGGAATTGAATTTGCTTTCTAGTGGGCCCCTGAGACTCTGAGATATTGTTTTAAAACCTTGGCCTACATCTTACCCTTATGGCATTTATCAGTGTTTCCTGGATTTGAGCAAACTCCCTCTTTAGCACTGAAAAGCAGTGACAGTTCTCAATAGTAAGTGTCGAATGTCTTCTGCTAACTAGTCATGGTGTCAATCATTCAGGCTAACAAAAACATCAAATCACAATTATTTTACTGTTTTCATCAAGGCATTCATCACCCTCCACCTTTAAGTCATTAAATCAGTTAGGTACTAATGTGGTAGGGCCTGAACTTGAGAACATTAAGATGGGAACAAAGTTACTAATTCTTGTTTTCACCAGTTACAGGAGATGAACCAAGTTATTTTATTCTCTCTCTGTCTCAGTTTTCTCAGCTATGAAATAATAGTCTTACTAAATATAATATAATAGTATTATTAGTTTTTTTTTCAATGAGTACTTTTAATGAACTAAAACACAAAGCTCTTGGAAGAATTCTTGGTAGATAAGCACTATCTGATAGAGGCAGAGCTGCCATCGTCATCATCATCATCACCACTTGGTGGGAAGTCATGCACATGTTGTCATCGTCACATTCCATTTGTCCTGGGGACTTAGGATGACTATGCTGTCCCAAGCAGAGAGAGCCAGATTGGAGAGCTGGCCCTGCTCAGATGGCCAGCACTGGGAACTGCCAGCAGCCTCACCTTCACCACCTCATTGTGCATGCTCTGCACCGCTATGTGAAGAGGCGCCATCATGCTGCTGTTTCGAAGATTGGGGTTTGCTCCTTTGCTGAGAAGAAACTTAACGCTTTCAACCTGGTTTTTTTCTGTGGCCCAGTGTAGAGGGGTATTTCCATAATCATCCATTACATTCAGCACTAGAAAAAGATGCCAAAATGTGGATTAAATTTTTGCTTGGCCTGTATTCAACACTTCTTGAGTGTCTAGTCACAGTGCCAACTGCTGCTATCATTGGCTGCATCTTCTTTGTGAAAACTAAAACTAGAGCTTCAGTTCTCATGAAATATTGAATAGAAGTATGGCACTGACTTTTTCTGTCAAATTTCCATCTATAGCTTATAGAAGAAGTAGGTTCTCATTACTACATGTTTTTATTTGCATATGAACTGCAGAATTGTAGTAAAATATTGAGATTAAACAAAATCAAGAACTATATGGCAGGTACTCTACTAGTTCCCACATGGCAATTATTTCACACAAGCCTTCAATATATCACCATGACCAATTCACCAAAAGATGACATGTTGGGGGCTGCAGGAACAAAAAGTCTTTCCAACATCGCACAGCCAGGAAGGTATTGTATAAGTTATTATGATCTGCGTCCTACTTGATCTCTTTGTGGCAACTGATCCTTCTAACTCATAGGATTCAATAGTTTCAATAGTTTCTCCCTGGGATACGTGTGTATCATCGCTGTCTCAACCATCACCCTCTTCATCCTTTCTCTAGCTTTTCCTCTGACATGCATCTCTTAATGTTGTTGCCCTACTCTTACCTACCTTGGCTAGCATTGTCTCCTAAAGCATTTTAAGGCACTTCCATAATCTCATCTACTTTCTATACAGTGATGGCTCCCAAGGGATGGATCCTTTCCTTCTGTGTTTCTAGTTATGTTCTGGATGTTTTCAGATAGATATTCCCTGGATTTTTTAAATGCAGTATGTCCAAATCTCATCACATCCTGTTACTCATGTTTTTATCTGTTTTCTTCTATGTAGCCTTTTTGGAAGATGGTTATAATACTAGCATTATTTCTGGACTAGAAATCTTAAAGTCCAACTCCTTGATATTTTTTCACCTTTATTCTGCTTTCAAACACTGTTTGCAACTATATTCAAATATCTCTTGAATCTCTTTCTGCTTTCTAACTTCACAACCCTGGTGGATTCTCATCTCTTTATTTCTAAAATCTATTTTCGATGAATCTTCCACTTTAAATCCATCTTCCGCAATGTTGAAGAATTAAAGGTCAGTCTCTCTCTCTCTCTCTCTTTCTGAGAGAGACTGTTTAAGTCTTAAGTCTCTATGGCATCCACTTCTCTCATCATCTACAAATTACAAATGAATTTCTCAAACAAATCTGGATGTACAGGATTGAGATGGTGGAATGGAAACTGTGATAAAACATTGAGATTATATAAAAGCAAGTACTATGTGTCAGGAACTTTGTTAGGTTCCATATGACTACTATTTCCCTCAAGCTTCCACAAGTCCACATGGTATCATCATGACTACTTTTCAGAAGGATGAAGTGTCAAATATATTCAATGATAAGCAATTTAAATGTAGAGTAACATCAATGGAAATAGTGTAGAAGAATACACTAAAAGTTTATGAATTTTTATGACCTATCTAAAAATTCAATGAAAGTCGGTGCTTGCTGTGGGGTATCCCAGATCTCTGCACAAGCCTTTGAAATATTTCAGTGGAAAACACTGAAGTGTACCCATATATAGGGTACACCTATATATATATATTCCTCAGTGAGATATTTCGGCTCTTCATAATCTGGCACTAATCTGCCCTATAGATTCACTTCATACCCCTCTTACAAATGAAACTGAAGGGATGATAAACTTACAGAGCACTCATAGTGATATTTTGTTACCTTCACAAGAGGAGTCACTGATAATCATCTTCATCAGTTCAACTTGACCTTCTGCTGCGGCATGATGCAGAGGAGAGACGTTCTCATCATCTTCGCTTACTTTCTTTCGGTTCTTGGTAGACTGTTGGAATCCCCATTCATTGTCTTCAAAATCTACCTGGAGGTATATATAAAAAGAGAAAACTCTCACTTTAGGGCAGGTGTTTCAGTTCAGCTGGTTAATTCTGTGCAAACAATGCCAGCATTCCACATCAGACTGCCAGTCCAAGTCTCGGCTTCTCCATTTCTAATCCAGCTAATGTTCCTAGACAGGCAGGTGATGATGGCCCAAGCACTTGTACCCATAACACCCATGTGGGAGACCCAGATGGAGTTCCTGGTTCTTGGCTTTAGCCTGTGTTTGACCTGGCCCAGCTTCAAATGTTGTGACCATTTGAGAAGCAAACCAGCGGATGGAAGTGTCCTCCCTCCTCTCTCCTTCCCTCCCTCCCACTCTCCCTCTTTTCCTGCCTCCCTCTCTCACGCCACTCTCTATACCACTGCCATTCAAATAAATAAATCTTTATAAAAAATTGTTACCTTATAGAAGGTTATGCAGAACGTACCAAGAGAGTCATTTCATAGCCCTAAAAATTCATCATTGGGGCCCACATTGAGGCACAGTGGTATAAGCCACAGCCTGGGTCACCTATTTAAGGATTGGTTCAAGTCCCAGCCACTCTACTTCTGATCCAGCTGTTTGCTGGATCCAGACTGTTTCTGATCCAGCTGTTTCTGACCCAGCCTGGGTAAGGAACAGAGGATGCCCCAGATCCTTGGGTCCCTGATATCCACATGAGAGAGACATGATGGAGTTCCAAGTTCCTGCTTTTGGCCTAGCCAAGCTCTGGGCCACTGTGGCCATTGTGGAGTGAACCAGCAGATGGAAAATTCTTTCTGACTCTCCCTCTCTCTCCATAACTCTGCCTTTCAAATAAATAAAATAAATCATTTTAAAAAGTGTATCATAATTCAAACCAATTTATCAAGCTTACAATATGATAATTTTTCTTAAAGAATACAAAATGCTTACAGACATAAAAACAAATTCATAACCATTGACAAATACATTAAGTAAAAGTTTTGATATTCTGATCATACTGTGCTGTAGAAGAAATAAAGGTGTTGAGAAAACTTCAAAATAAACTAAGGGTTACAATCTGAGAACCAAGTAAATACATAGAGCAATTCGCTTTGCTTGGTAAAAGAATACTTAAATGCATGAGGGGTTTGGGTGAGATGAACAGGTTTTCATGAATGCAAGGATTATTAACATCAATGAATCTAACTCCTGCCCCTCTGTGGCCTTCCTGTCTCCAGTCAGCCCCATTTAATGTTCCCACATATATCAAAGCTTGAATCCCTCTGAGACACTGCTGTGTAATTCACTTAATCAGTAATCTAGAACAACTGTCCATTCACCCCAGAAATGAGTAGCCCCTCTTCTGACTACTGGGATGCTGTACCAGGCCAAGTTGGGGCAGAATAAGCACTTCTTTGCTGTCTGCACATAGGGAAGGCTAGCAGTACAGTGTGCACACCTAAGGCCAACTGTCAGGCCATGACAGGTTGAATCACTCACCCAAAGGTATGCTCTAAATGGCAAATTAAGAATTTGAACACCAGGTACATATATATATATATATATATAGGCTGTATGATGAATGGTAAAATTCAACATGCAGTAAAAGCAGAAGCTAAGGTCAAAAACCACCCTCATGGAATGAACTGTGCAAAAGAACAAGATACTACAAAGCATAACAGCAGACATCACAGGCAGGCTCAGCACAGTTTAGCACTGTCGCTGCTTCCCTAGCCTATGAAGTTATGGCTCATGGCAACTGACATCAGTGCAAGACTGAAAGCTTTTGTGAATCGCTCACTTTTCTCTGACACTTTCTTCTTTTTCTTTCTTTCTGATTTTTTTATCTTTTACCAAGTGGGGATTGAAGATCATTTGTCACAATTGACATTGTGTTTTCTCAGCATAGAATCCTGAGGTGACAGCATTGACTGCTTTGGATTTGTTCTCAAAATATGACAAAGTGCCAAATAAGACTTTTTATTGAAAGCTCATTGTCTAAATAGCATTACTAAAAGTTAAGTAAATCTTTAAAAATCACTTTATTCAATGTTATTAGCTTTACTACAGAAAACTTTACAAAAATCTTTGTGTTATAAGCTTGTCTCTGTTATCCTGCTTTGCATTATTATTTAATTTTTGTAAATATATTGGATCAAAAAGTATATAATGTTTTTCTTAAACTTAAATATGTATCATCTTAATATTTTTGTTAACTGATCATCCATTTATTTATTCAATGATTTTAAAGTTCTTAATATTTGCTTCACACAAAAAATTAAGTATTTTCAAACTGATAATTTAAAAATAGAGTAGTATTTAACTATATATCAAATGACTGATGATATTTTTATTCAAAGTTGCTTCTAGAATTCTTTCCTATATTTGAAAGTGAATACTTATGTATTATCAATAAATGTAAATAACAAGCCTTATTCTGTTGTTCATATTTTTACATTATATTTAATGGACCATAGATCACACACCTGGTCAGAGATGCCAGAAATGACATTGTTTGGCATTCTAATAATTGGCTGTGAAAGGTAAAGTCAAAGTCAAAGCTGAATTGCAGATTTTGGCTTAAAACAGACTGAGGCCAAATGCCTCCAAGTCACTGAATTGGCATGCGTGTGCCTCATCTGGAAGGTCCACTGTACTTTAAGCTCCACAAGGCTCAAAGAAAGTGAACTCTTTTTCCTTTTTCCTTCTGTTTCTCCCAATCCACTTGGCTTCCGTAAGCCTTCCTAAGGCTTCGTGATGGCTAGCAAACACCCTCCAGTCCAGCCTCTCATTCTCTTGAGAGCCCACCATGGGTTTTCTAAACACAAGAAAATGTATGGTGATCTCATACCACTGACAGTTATTGGAAAGTGTGTTGTGCCTTCTTGTGTTTGTACATTTTACTCCACTTTGATTTCTTTTTCTTATTTTTAAAATTTTATTTAAGGATACGAGTTTCATGTATTTCAGACATACAGATTTAGGAACATAGCAATACCTCTCACCCTACCCTCCTTCTCGCTCACACTCCAACCCTTATTCCTTCTTCTTCTCCTCTTCCCACTTTTAATTTTCGCAAAGATCTATTTTCAGTTTACTTTATATTCATAAGGTTAACATAATTGACATAGCACACTCTATTCACGCTCTTCAATGCTGTTTCATTTCAAAGCGGTTCTGAATCCAAATCCTAAATTTAATCTTTCATGCCATGCATTGCTTGAATTTATACAATGACTTTATATGATAATATCATGTAAGTAAATACTTTTTACAGCATGAGAAAAAAGGAAGGGAGGAAGGGAAGAAAGGAGAGAGAATAGGATGAAAAACAAGACCCCTGGCCGGCGCTGCAGCTCACTTGGTTAATCCTCTGCCTTCGGTGCCGGCACACCAGGTTCTAGTCCCGGTCGGGACGCCGGTTCTGTCCTGGTTGCTCCTCTTCCAGTCCAGCTCTCTGCTGTGGCCCGGGAAGGCAGTGGAGGATGGCCGAGTGCTTGGGACCTGCACCCACGTGGGAAACCAGGAGGAAGCACCTGGCTCTTGGCTTCAGATCGGCATAGAGCACTGGCCGTAGCAGCCATTTGGGGGGTGAACCAACAGAAGGAAGACCTCTCTCTCTCTCTCTCCTCTCTCTCTCTCTCTTTCTCTCTCTCACTGTCTAATTCTGCCTGTCAAAAAAAAAAAAAAAAAAAAGATCCCCACATAAAAAACATGTGAGGCTACATGGACTACTACACACACCAGAAGATCCCAGACTAACTGATGAATTTTAATTCCCTAGATGCTTAAAAAATTATGTAATGAACAGGAAAAAACTTAACAGAACCTCATCTAGTCCTGTGACAACAGATACACTAAAACTGTTTCTTAGTGTTCCTTCCAGATTTGCAAATATGTGACCAAGCAGCACATTGGTCTGAAAGTTTTGCAAAGTTATTTCTTAACAAATACTTCAGCACATGGACCAGAAGCAAAATGTTGTGCAAGACAATAGATTTTCATGTAGCCTACTGTAAAATTACAACATTCTGAAAATGCAGAAATTAATTCTACCTTTAACTATGACCGGTCACATTTGATACATGATAATATTATGTCAAAACTCTAATTTCTTTTAAGATAATCAGGGCATTTCTCACTACCGAACAGAAAAGCTACTCTTAAATATTTTAATGTAGTTAATAAAGAATCCACATTATGTTTATTTAGCATATTCAACTAGTAACTGCCACTTTAAAATAAAATAATTTGGAGCTTTTAAAAATTTGAGCTTTGAATTTTGCTTCTGTTATCATGGAATAGTGCCTATAAAATTACTCTTCTCTGGTAGTCTCTTAAATAAAGATATATAACTTATCAACCAAAAGACTGAATTCTATATAAGATATATTTAATTTTAGTGACTGTGGGATATTACAGTGAGCATCCAACCATTTCCAAATTTACACATCTTTGAGATTAAATGTAAAAATGGCTTCTTGCTGAAATAGGCTCCTTCTTTTAGTTTTGCCTTATCAAAGAAAGCATTTAGTTAATTCCCATTGGAATCATATTATCCCTTTAATATGACATATGCTTTAGGTGATAATAACAAGATTATATTTACCACCTCAGTACCTGAAAGATCAATTAATGAGTCTGTTAATCAATGTGCTATCAACACAAACCCAATTCCCCACTCTCAGAAAACATTGGAATTTCAGATACTCACAAGGTACAGCTGAAGTCACAATGACAAAACATTGTCTAGACACTTTACATGAACACACCAGATACGCTAGATAGCCTCAGTTCAGTGCCTGGCATGTCATCAGGCTCTGAAGACATTTCTTACAGAAAGTCCTGAAGGTAAGCCGACAATACCATTTAGACAAATTATTATATATTCACTCAATATAGTTGCCTGTTGTACCAGCAACACTTCATATTCTTTAGAATTCTGAACTATATGACTAGATTCAAAACACAATAGACTAGACCACTTTTGGAGAAGTTAATTTTAAGACCTTGAAAACAGAACTATCAAATGCATTTGTTTTAGGTTGCTTTAATGAAATACATGTAAGCAATCATAGGGTAAAAAGATAAACTAAGGTCAGAGATGATAACAAATGAAAAGCTAAATGTTGAACTACTATACCTCTCTTGAATGAAACAAGTGAAAAAGTCTAAAATAAAGGCATAAGTTTGAAGGTTCTTTTTTCACATTTTTCATCTTGTAAGTTTTCTATGATCCTTCCATCCTGTTGGCATTCTTTAAACCTTGTGTGTGTGTGTGTGTGTGTGTGTGTGTTTCTGAAGCAAATATATACTGTAACTTTAAAACCAGGAATACATCAACAAAGCCCCAGAGTTCAAAACTCTTCCAATGGTATACATGCTGTTTTATAAGGAGTCCAGACCCTGAGAATTTTATGGAATGTTTTGGAAATCTTGCTGTATCAAATGAAACATCTGATGTTCTTTGCCTACAAGCCCTTACATAGTTTCTAAAAGCTTTATATAACACAAATGGCTTTACATGACTAGGCAATAAAACCAAAGGCAAATAAACAAAAACATGCAGAACCATGTTTGTGGTATGGAAATACTTCTGTAAATATCTCCAAAAAGCAAAACCACATGGGTGATTTTCAAAATTTCGAAATTTCTTCCTGTCTCATATTAATTACAAAGGCAGTATCCTACTGTTGAAATCCACTCATGACTTGGTTCTCTGGAGTAAGCCACACGCCTACACTTAGATCAGGGAGGAGGCCAAAATCAGTGTTCAGTCTGGATGTGTGAAGACTCACCTTAGAAGGCTGGTTTGTTTTGTCGATGTGAGTGAATTATGTATCTGACTCACACACATGACTGGCAATGATGTCAATCTGTGTAACTTTTGCATGGCAATTTGCCATTTTCTGCTTAAACTTGTACATATCTCTTGAAGGGATCAGTGGACAGAGAAACCACATGCCCATTCACAAACACACACAATCATGTATGTAATAGCCAAAGAAAACAAAACCAAAACCCACCAAGGTGCCCCCCAGTGCAGGACTGGTTAAATAAATCCTGATCTATCCATACAATGAAGCTGTAATAAAGACTGAGGTGAATGAGAAAGTGCTGATGTGAATAGTACCTTCTGGGATATATTTCAGGAATAAATTAAAGTACAAATCCATGACTTCATCTTTTTGTAAATAAAAGAAAGGTAGATGAATATCTGTGTATGCTTGTCCCACGATTTTCCCTTGGAAGTACATAAGGTGCTGGCAACACGGTTTTGCTGTGGAAACGGGTGTGAGTTTGGAAAGTCACTGTTAATGATGCCCTAGTGGTTAAGAAGTGACTCTTTTTCTCCTGCTGATCATCAGAGGAAATGCGGTGTTGGGTTTTCTGAGCCCCAAACAGCGTCTGGTTCTTAGACGTAGGGTTGGATGCCATCAGTGAGGTGCTAACTCAGAACGCTCTGAGACTTAATAGGAAAAAAGAAGCCATATCCCAATCCTTAGCCACGCCGGGAAGCTAGTCACCCACCGATCTTCAACAGCCCTCCTCCTCCAGTCTTTCCTATCGCCCCATTCCTGGAGGACAGTCCCTGTCCCTCCTGCTTCCTGGGGCCAGTCTCTGCCTTTATTTTTTCCCCCTGTTTCATTCTATTAAACAAGTATGCTCAGCCTCGGGGCACCTCTGAAGCAGCAATCAGACCCCCAGATCCAGCCCTTTGACAAGCAGACTGGAAATCTATAAAAGAGTCCAAGGGACACGTCCTGCACTTAGGCAGTCGCCTGATTCTGCCACTGCCAAGGGTACTTTGGGGTGGGTCTCTCCCGACTGCAGCCGCCCATCCTCTGGCAAGAACAGGATGGAGAAATAAACAAATAGGACAACACGAGCCTGGCGGCAGGTTCCGAGCTTGGTCCCAGAGGCCCTCAAACTATTGAGGATGTCTCCTTTTGTTTGTTTGTTTGATTTGTTTTGTTTTGTTTTTGTACCCAGCACACACCCCGAAGCGAGGCATAGCCCCATACGCTTGCCGCTTCTGGTCCTCCTAGAAGGACCTGCGCTGCCCACAGGGATACCTTGAGCCAGATCCCCGCCCTGACTTTAGAACCTGTCCCTCCCGACCTCCGCATGCCCAAGGTACCTCAATGTTTTTGGAGTCGTCCTTGTTGTTCTCCACGTCCTGGTAGTCAACGCCGTGGGGCGACTTCTCCCCAGCCCGCAGCATCTTCCTCAGGCTGCGCTTCATTGACCCCACCTGGGACACCACCTGGTACAGGTGTTCCTCACCTGCTTGGGCACCTGCGGCAAGAAAGCGCGGTCAATGGCGCCGTCTGCCGGTTACCTGCGCGCCGGGTCCGCGCCGGGTCCCTGCGAGACCTCTCCGGCCCTACGCGGTTTCCGGGCTGGCTGCGAAACTCTTGCTCTTTGAGATGCCAGAGGGAACTTGTGGAAGGAGTTCTCGGGCTGGGGCTGCTTGTAGTGCAGGATGCAGGCGGGGCGCTGCGAGGAGGCAGAAACGCGGCGGCCCTCTTATCTGTGTGGGCAAGGGGGCGGTGACGCCGCTACTGCTGGGCCTCGCCCCTTTGTATGGACGGCGGAGCTTGCTTGTCCGGCTGCCTGCAGCTGCAGCCATGAACACCTGGGGCCTGCTCAGAGCGAGTCCAGCGAATCTGTTACAGCCAAAAAACTCTAGACGCCTCCTTGCCCTGCCACCAGCCACGTGTGGGGGCCGGGGGGGGGGGGGAGGGAGGGGAAGGGGGAGAGGGAGACTGGGTACATTGGGAAGATTTTTAAAGTTGTTCTTCCAACTCAAGCTGTTGAACCTGCATTATATATGTATGTGATTGAGAGAATTATAGAGAGGGGGAAACACAGAGAAGGTCTTCCATCCTCTGGTTCTCACCCAAATGGCCAATCCAAAACCAGGAGCCAAGAGCTTGTTCCGGGTCTCCCACATGGGTTCAGAGGTCCAAGGACTTGGGCCATCTTCTACTGCTTTTCCAGGCCATTAGCAGGGAGCTGGATGGGAAGAGGAGCAGCTGGGATTTGAACAGGTGCACATATGGGATGCTGGCCGGGCTTAGCCCACAGCCCAGGCCCCTGGACCAGCTTTTCCATCCCACCTTCTTTTGGGGACTTCTTTGATTTGGAAATAATGTGTTCATCAAAACTTCTATTTCCAGATGCTTTGGAAGAATGGATAAATCCTAACTCTGACTTGAAGACATAGGATGAAGTCTTTTTAAATCTCAGGTCTTGTATGCTGTGGATAACAGTATTAATCGCACTCATGCTTTAGTGTTTAGGATTAGTTAATAAATATGACAGGTTAAACATAAGCCACAATTACTGCTCTAAGCTTCTGTACCCTCAGCTTTGTTTGAGGGACTTATCTTCAAAGACCAGGGCTGCATTTGTTGATCAATGGCATAGGTGAAAATTGTGTGCAATGGAGGGTGTGGGTTGCACACAATTGCACAATGGTTGAGGCTTTTTTATGTTTACATACAGATAAGAGAGCTGCTAAAGCTGCTCTCCCTGTGTTTAGGTCACAAGGTTAGTAAGTAAAAACAAGACAAAACAAAAACACTGGTTTCTGGGCTTTTAGCTTAATTGGTTAAGACATCCATGTCACATACAGGAAAACCTGGGTTTGTTTCCCAGCTCCTGATTCCAGCTTTTTGCTAATGCAGATCCTTGGACACAGTGGTGATGGTTCAAATTAGATTCTCGGGTGGGAGGGACGTTATGGGGGGGAAGCCATTGTAATCCATAAGCTGTACTTTGGAAATTTATATTCATTAAATAAAAGGATGGAAAAAGATTAAAAAAAATTATATTCTTGCTACCCACGTCGGGAACCTGAGTGGAGTTTCCACTGCAGGCAATTGGGGAGCAAAACAGCCAATGAAAACTGTCTCTCCTTCCCAACCTCTAACCCTCCCCAGCTTTCACCCTCAAAATAAGTAACATTTAAAAACAAACAAAATCACCCAAAACTTATTTTCAAACTTAATACTATTATGCACAGGGCAACCTTTAGCACTGACAATCTTCCTTTGACCAACTATTCTTTCAAGGCTGTGACTTAGCACATTCACCTGATTGTCTCCAACACAAGACCCAGCCGTATAGATGTAAAACCTGACAGAGGCAGTACTCAATATAAGTTTGTGGTGGGAGCTTGGGCTGAATTTAAAGGTAAGTAGAGTGGCCATGATGATATTGAGAAACAACAGAGAGGTCTCTCAAAGCCTTTCAGCTGAGATACCAAGTTCTCATAAATTCTAGCCCTGCAGTGGGATTCCTTGGAAGGAAAACATTGAATTTATCATCAGTCCTCAATCCTTGTGAGTGGCTTGCTGAAAGATTGGTGAAGGATACAGATGTTTCACTTCATCACTTGTACAAAGATGCATACTTGTGGGATCAGCTGCACACCTTGCTATGATTGAGTTAAATTAGATGATACATTTAGAAAAACCCAAAAAGAAAGAATGAGAAGGATGGATAAAAAAGAGTAACTTTTGCTGAACCCTTTGCCTATGCCAAGCATTTTAGGTACATTAATCCTGCATTTTAAAACCTTTTGTTGGGCCGGCACTGTGGCTTAGCGGGTTAAGCGGCCATCTGCGGTGCTTGCATCCCATATAGGCACTGGTTCGAGACCTAGCTGCTCTACTTCCAATCCAGCTCTCTGCTATGGCCTGGGAAAGCAGTGAAAAATGGCCCAAGTCCTTGAGCCCCTAAACCTGCATGGAGGACCCAGAGGAAGCTCCAGGCTTTGGATTGGCACAGCTCCGCCCATTGAAGCCAGTTGGGGAATGAAGCAGCGAATGGTATACCTCTCTCTCTTTCTCTCTGTTACTCTGACTCACAAATAAATCTTTAAAAAAAATTTTTAAAACTTTTCATTTACTTATTTGAGAAGGGGAAAGAGAGAACATGCTCCTATCCTCTGGTTCACTCCCAAATGCTCACAGTATTCTGTACTGTGCAAGACCAAAGTGGAGCACCAGGAACTCAATCTTGGTCTCCCACCTAGGTCGGAAGGACTCAACTGCTTGAGCCATCAACACTGCCTCCCAGGGTCCACATTAGCAGGAAGCAGGATTCAGGAGCACAGCTATAATTCAAATCCAGGGCACGTTGATATGGGATGTAGGCATCCCAGCCAACTTTTTTCTTTTAAGATTTGTTTATTTATTTATTTGAAAGTCAAAGTTACACAGAAGAGAGGCGGGGGGGGGGGGTGTCTTCCATCCACTGGTTCACTCCCCAATTGGCTGCAATGGCTGGAGCTGAGCCAATCTGAAGCCAGGAGCCAGGAGCTTCTTCTAGGTCTCCCATGCTGGTGCAGGGGCCCAAAGACTTGAGACATTTTCTACTGTTTTCCCAGGCCATAGCAGAGAGCTGGATTGGAAGTGGAGCAGCCAGGTCTTGAACTGGTGGCTACATGGGATGCTGGCACTGTAGGTGGCAGCTTTAACTGCTATGCCACAGCGGCTGCCCCCAACCCAGCCACCTTACTAGCTCTACCAAATACCTGCCCCTCACTTTTTTTTTTCTTAAGGAAATGCCTTATAGGAAGTTAATGACTTTTTATTTGTTAACATGAGTTACCTTGATCAATTGCTGTTCTCCCAACACTTAGCCGAAAACAGTCACTAAGACAGGAAATAAAGGTAGTTTCAAGGTCTCATTTTTGGAAGCTGGAGCAGAGGGTATGTCATGGTAGCCAGCTTCAGTCAGCTGTGTTGGCCGAAGGGATGCTGGGCCAGAGAATCCACCCCTGGATAGGGAGCTTGGAGACTGGTTACTAGAGGCCAACACTCCTTCTTTGTAAAATCTCCTGGTGTCAGTGGCCAGAAGCTAATCTCCACAGAATGATGCTGTCTGTGTCCTTGCTCCTGCTTCCCAGTTGCAGTGGCAGGACTTCTGTAATTCTTCCTAAGTGTTTGATAGGGCAGCCCTGTAAGCATGGGCTTTTGATTTTTCCTTCTGGCAAGATACTGAATTACCAATTCAATTTTCTTATTTTTTATGAAACTTTCGAGTTTGTAATTTTGCTTGAGTTAAATTTTGGTAATTTGTGGTTTTGAGAAATTTTTCTGTTTCATTATTGTCTATTTGTTCACATAAAATTATTCATGAAATTTCCTTACAATCCATTGAATTTTTGTAAGTTCTGTAACAATGTCTCCTCTTTGATTCCTGGTTTTTTTTTGTAATTTGTGTCATTTAATTTATAAATGATAGCTTATCAATTTTGTTCATCTTCCAAAGAACCAATTTTCTATTTTATTGATTTTTCTCTATTGTTTTTCTACTTTTGGTGTAACTGTTTCCAGTGATTTTCTTTCAGATTTTTCTTTCCAATTACTTTGGATTTGATTTGCTCTCTTTCTATACCTCTTGAGGTAAAACATTATGTTGTCAGCTTTAGATATTTTTCCCCTCCAATTCAATCATTTAAAGCTACAAAATATTCGAAAATGCTTTGCATAAGCTGCATCCTATAAAGTTGTGGCTTATTCTTCGACTCACATTTTACTTTAGGAAGTGTTTTGTTTAATTTCCAAGTATGTGGGCTTTTTTCCAAATTTCTTTTTGTTGTTGGTTTCCTGTACAATATGGTTATGGTCAGAAAACATACTTTTTATGATGGCAATTGATGTAAGTTGAAGTATGGATTTACCAAATTTTGTTTCATGACTAGTGCATGGTCTATCTTGGAGATTGCCCTATATACACTTGAAAAGATTATGTGTTCTGCTATTGTTTGATAAAGTTTTGGAATATGTTATAGGTCCAGTTGTGTAAAATTGTTTCTATATTTTTAGAAATTTTCTATTTTGTTATCAGTTACTGAGAGAGGAATATTAAAATCATAATTGCAGTTCACAATTGATCATACTAATAGGTCTAAGAGTCAAAGGGATCACATAAACAAGACTAGTGTCTGCTAATACTAACTGATAGAATTAAAAAGGGAGAGAACAATCCAACATGGGGAGCAGGATACACAGCAGACTCATAGAATGGCAGATGTCCTAAACAACACTCTGGTCTCAGAATCAGCCCATAAGGCATTTGGATCTGGCTGAAAAGCCCATGAGAGTATTTTAGGCATGGAAAGCCAAGACACTCTGGCAAAAAAAAAAAAAAAAAAAAAAAAAAAAAAAAAAAAAAACTAAATGAAAGATCTCTGCGAGTGAGATCCCAGCGGAAAAAACGGGGCCATCAAAGAAGGAGGTACCTTTCTCTGAAGGGAGGAGTGAACTTCCACTTTGACTATGACCTTGTCTAAATAAAATCGGAGTTGATGAATTCAAAAGGCTTCCATAGCCTTGGAAACTCATGACAAGAGCCTAGGGAGATTACTGACGCCATAAACAAGAGTGTCAATTTGTTAAGTCAACAACAGGAGTCACTGTGCACTTACTCCACATGTAGGATCTCTGTCTTTAATGGGCTGTACATTGTGATTTAATGCTATAACTAGTACTCAAACAG